GACACCAATGGTCAATTTGTACAACATTAGGGTTTCTTGTATGATCGTTCCACCATGAGGAACGATCGTACCACCATCACGAATGGTCATTCCACCACAAGGAACGATTGGTCCGTTGGCTCCTTAAAATCCATAAAATTCTAGAAGTACGCATGACTTCTTGGAACGTTGATGTTCAGCCAAGAATGATCTTTGAGTGTGAATAGTTGTTCCACCACGAAGAACGACCGTTTCACTTTTGATACTTGAACTTCAACTTGATCTTCAAGGCTTTTCTTTCAAGATTCGTCAATGGCGCAAAGTGTTTGAATTATGAGTACTTTGACTTTTGACTTGGATGGAACGGGCATGCTGCTTGGTCGTGCTATTGTGAGCGACTAAACTCCATTTTGGACAGAAGCATGCACGATCACATGGAACGTGGTTGTGCTGAAAGGAACATGCATCTAGGCAACTCTATGATGCAAGGAACGATCATTCGTTTGTCCTACACGATCATACCAACTGGAAAAATGCAATTTGTTTTTTGCTATGACTTCTTGTCATAACTTAGCATGTTAGTTAGGGAACCAATCAACTTTTTGATTAGTTTTGGCACATCAAAACATATAAGGGCTCAACATGCTCCAATGATAATCTTGCATATTAATTCACTAAGGCCTTACCGACATCAACATTTGAAAAGTTGGTACATGGTATTGGTATGCGACAGCTTAATAAGTTACTAAATTAAATTTGCCATTATGAAGGGAGCATTGATCAAGAGGAGCATCAATTAGGGGGAGTTATTGGAAAGGTTCATTGCAAAATTTGAAACACCCCAAAATTTAAAAGTAGAGAGAAAATTTAATACAATCTTCTCATTTTAGCCCTTCAGCTCTTTTACATTTCAATCATTCTTAGTTTATTTTATTACATTTACACCCCTGAAGTTATAGCAGTTTGTACTATTGTTAATTTTTTACAGGTGTAAGGTAATAAAGACTTGAGGATCCAAGCCCAAAAGAAGATATAAGTTGGAAGTAAAAAGAAGAGGATAAAGCTAGTAAAGAGAAATGGGAAAAAGCTAGAAAATAAAAATAAAAAGAAAGTAAGGTGAGGTGAGGTGAGGTGGCACATTAATGAGTTATAAGAAGGCACAAAAAGTTTCTAAGCATTGATTATGTAATAGTTTGTTGTGCAATAAAAATTCCTAGCCTAGGCTCAACAGAGAAGCCCGGGACACATCTCTGCAAGGACCGAGCATCAAGCTTGGGAGCATAAATCTTCGGCGAAAGACGTGAGCAACCAACTTGCGTATGCAAGCACTACATGTGACGAGATCAAAAAAGGGGAGGTGTCGTATAAAAATATCTCCCCGCTCGGACAAATCACCTTACCACGTATAAGTTACATGCCCCGATCATTAGCACGTGGCAATACGAACTCCATGTGCTCACCATGCAACTCATCCAAGGGGAAGCCTGTAAAGACACCTGCTATCAGAGGAAACACCATCATGAGTATGGTGTGGGGGCATGTGAGTTTTCGACCATCGTGTGACATCAAACAACGTGACTGATGCACCTATGATCATAACATTACTAAAACCCCTTTTCTCTTTAAAAAGACAGGGCAACAGCCACAAAAAAAGAAGGGGGGGGGGGGCGAAACTGTGAAAAGGAGAGAGGGAGGAGAAGAGACGATAGACGGAGAGAGAAACAAAAAAAACTCTCTTTGGCCCAAGCATCAGGTCAAAAGTAAAGAAACTTAATGGAGATATCCCCCTCAACTGCGGGGGAAACCCCTTCTTGTATTCCAACTTTATATGAGTCAAATAAAATATCAGTGGACGTAGGCCTTATTCGTTTCTTGGCCAAACACTTTAAAATTGTCTAGTTTTCACACCATTCTCTAGGAGGCGAATCACACACTTGGCTACCTCTACAGGTGGGTCAAGTTTTCTTTCTGGTTCCAGGAATCACGCACCCATCTTGCTCGGTTCTTTGGAGTCAACTGAGTATATGGTTATGCGTGTCTTCGTCCTGACGTTTTAGTCGTGCAGAATTGCATCAACGATGTTGTAATTTAGATTGTAATATTTCTTTCCAAGGCCAAATGTAAGCACCTATAAATAAAGAGGGTATGTGTTAATTGTAACTCATTTTCTACATAAAAAACAGTGAATAAGTTTGATATTTTCTTGGTTGTGTTTCTCAACTATCTCTTATTTGCTCTCCAACCAAATATCATAAATTCTCATCTAAGTCTTTGAAAAACTGTATTGAAAATCTTAGGAACAAGAATGATATAAAATTTATTTGTCATGATTATGACGTGACTGAAATATATTAATCGGAGGTGTTTAGAATCTAATTATTTCCCTAATTATCCTTTCTATTCCTAAATTGATTATCTATAAAAGATTGAAAATAGATATTTTCATGCACTTTAAATTATTAATATCTTTCTTTTTTTTTTTTAACTTATTCTATATTGTGATTTTAACTTTAAAAAAAATAATTTATGAGGATTAAAAAAAGTTTAGATGGGTTCAAATAATAACTCTTCAATTGATTTCCCTCCCTTTTAAATTAAGAGAAAGTTGTAATATGTGAAAAGCTAGCGACAATTTAATATGATGGGTTAAGGATTTATGTCTGGCACCCAAGCCCAACCCATTTATTCAGGGCCTCCAATGCGTGTTTTACGTTTATCTTTATTTTATTTTTTTTTTTTTATCATATTTTCTTTCTTATCCAATATATTTTGGCACTTAAATCAAAATTGGGTAATCTTTCAGAAAACATTACTTCTACTCATTAGCCTACCAGTTTTCTAGCAATATACACAACTTAGTCAAACGAAAATCTCTAATCTTGTCAATTGGAATTAGTGTACATTGTTCAGTCCTTAACATGGAGCAACAGTAAAATATCGAAGAAATAGAAAGAAAAAGAAAGTGATGGGTATTTAAAGAGTAAAAACTGGGAGTTAAAAGTATTATAAATATAGTAGGTTAAACGAAGAGAATGGAGTGAGCAAATTGATGTAAGTTTAAGTTATGGGGAAGAGTAGCAATAGCATTAGCAATGGCACATACAGATGGAGCTTCTGTTAAGCTCAGTTCAGTAAGTATAGTCACATCAAAGACAAAGAGTGTCATCAGAAAAGCTGATGAATTATGTTAATTAATTAATCATAAATTTCTAAAATTCTAAAGTGTAATAGTAATATATATATCTATTTGGTTTGACTGCTAATTCCCAAACTGTCTCAAAGGTTAGGGACAAGCAGCAGGTGGCATGAAGTTTCAAAAATAAGATTTAAAAAAAAAAAAAAATGCAACTCCCAGTTGATAGTGACTGAAATGTCTCCCAGTTGAGTTATTTTCTTGTGGGAAGCTTCTTTACTCTTTCCTATGCAATACGGACACTCTCTGTCTTCTTCATCATAATGGACTATGTTATGTTTTTATGCATTTTGAGTTTTTGTTTTAAGTCATTGAGTGAGAAACTGAAAGCTCAACCCTTCCTTTTCCCATCACTATCATTTCTCTTTCTCTTCTTGTGTGTAAAATTTCACGTTTATCTATTTTTTTTTTTATTAAACTATATTACTTTGGCCAAAAGAAGTAAAAAAGAAAGGAAATCTCAGTTAATCTCTCTTCACATTCACATCCAATTTATTAAGTGCAGAGTTGATGGAGAAAGATCAATGTAAAAGATTTTTAATTTAGATTGTCAGGAAATCTAACTTTTTTTCTTTTTGCTTCGTGATCTTTTTAGGGTTCATGTACAAACATGTAAAATGACCACACAAATTTTCACATGGCAAAATCGAGTAAAAATTTGATGTCAAAATCTGAGAATCGGTCATGGTTTGATGCTATCGAAGGCTTGCAGTTTTTGTTCGGTGCCAAACATGTCTATAAACGTAAGGGACTAAGTTATTACATTATTGAAAAGGAAAAGCCACTATTTTGGTAACACACCTTTCTTCTTCAGAGAGAAAAGAGTTTCTAAAGAGCTTCATCTCCTGAAAACTTATATAAAATATTAAAATGTTAATTCTTTTGAAATTCATATTGTCATGTTGTTATTTATATTACGTTTTGATTTTATCGATCCAAATGTAAATGTAATGTATGAAAATAAAGAAAATACAAGAATAAAAGGGTATATATAATAAATTAGTAGATGTCGTATATAACATGATAAATTCCTGTAATTAGATATAACATCATTTACAATACCAAATTAAAGATCTAATAAGATGAGTCCTGTTACTTTCAAAATAAATTTCTTCAAGATATTTACGATTAGAAATTAGAGAGTAAAATCTGTATTTCTTTTCATATTAGGTTTTAAAACGAATATGATATTTACGTTGAATTGTACGGTTGAAAATCTGCATATCTATAACTGTTGAGTACAGGTCTTTGTGCTTGATTGTTTCCTTTTTAGGTTAATTTTGTTATATTGTATCTCTTATTTTAAACTTACACCTGAGTACCCTACTGCAAAATAACAGAGAAAGGTTGTGCTTTCTCTTATATTATCAAAAAGACACAATCTATATATGTGCATGTAGACTGTTTTCATATAGAATCTTTAGTTTTTGTTACTTTGCAAGGTCATGACAATCAGAAAAAATTAAAATTTACTTTGCAAAATGACAAGCAAAACAAAATAATAATTGCTTTTCAAACTTCATTATTTCCTAAATTCATTGATTGCTTTGACCCCATGTGTATTCTGTATACTTTAACTTTAATTTTCAATGAAGAAAGAGCAAGAAGGCACAGCGTCACAAATACAACACCCATTTTCCCAACTGAGATTCCATTCATGAATTAAGGATTAATTTAACTAAGCCATTTATACCACAGCAAAAATAAGTTGACCAATCAAGATAATAACTGAAATAAAGGCTAATAAAGTTGATTTAAGTACAATGAAACTAGAAATATATCATGGAAAGAGTGAAATTAAGGAACTAATACGATATTAATACCCGATTGCATCCATTAATTAAAGAGAAAAAAAAAAATTCATGAGTTTGGAAGAAAACCTAACAAGTAAAGTAACATTAAATTGCACTTAAAGTCCACCTGAAAGGTATTGAATTTTCATGTTCTAAGATCCAAATTAATCCCCAATTCCTACGTGTAAATCTTCACTTCCTGAGTCAGCTCCTTCATCTCACATTGTCAAATTAAACTCTTACCCTTTACAGATATTAAATTTTGTTTAATTCAACTTACTGATTTTCTCCCTTGCTCAGCTTCAATCCATAATTTTCCCATAAGTGATCTCCATCTGCCAATAGGAAACGGAAACAGCTATCACTCACTGCATTCCCAACATTTGAATTGGAAGGTGAAGAACTTTCATTTGTTTGACGAAGTCTCACTGTCTCTGTCTCTTCTTCATTGACCTCACAATATCCTCCTTGATTGTACATCAAGTAACTACTGCAGCTTCTTGAATTCTCTTTCCGTTTCTTGTTAGTTTTCTTCATATAATTGTTGATGTTATCCCACTTCTCTTTACACATTAAGCCACTTCTGTCATATCCACAAACCATTCTATCTGCTATTTCCTCCCACATTATCTCTTCAGAACACCCACTTTGTTGAAATCTTTCTTCCATGCTGGTTCTCAGTTGTATCAGCCTTGTAATCTCAGATTCTTCCCAGTTATCACTGACCTCTTGACTCCCATTTTCATTCCGGTTTTCACTTTGTTTTTGAATCTGAGAAGCCATTAGCTCCTCAGGCGATGAGGTCTTGATCAATTCTTTTCCGGTTAAATTTTGCAAGGCCTCCATTAAAGCAGAATCGCGAGCTTCGATCCAAGCTCTCTCTTTAGCCCAGAACTTATGCTCTCTATCGATGCGAGCTTCCTCTTGTCGCCTCCAATCTTCGTCTCTCAAAATCCTCTCTTGTTCCTTCTGTTCAAGAGTGGTAGTAAGTTTCTCCAACCACGACTCTTGTCTCTCCATTAGCTTCCTCATTTGAAAGTCAATAAATTCTTTTATCTTCATCTTCCAGCTCCTTCCTCCTCTTTTCTTCCTCCTTTTCTCGGTTGAATCATTCTCCATAGTGCTTAAATCATTGTCATCTGATGACGATGAATTGAATTCAGAGGAGTTAGAAAGACTAAGGCTATCACAAAGCTTTTGATGAGAGTGAAAGAGCTCTTGATTTGCCTGATTAGTACAAGTGTTGGTTCCAGAATGAAAACGAAGACTGGTTCCAACAAGGTGGGTTTCGGGGACTGAAACTGAATTGCTGGTGTCTCCATAGAGAGCCTCAAGTTGCCTAAAGAATCTGTAGTTCTTTCCATCTTGTCTTCCAGCTTTCCCTTCCTTTGTCTTCTTGTAATATTTATATAAATTTTCAAACTTTTCTCTGCATTTCTTTCCACTCCTTTGATACCCATGTTCCTCGGACATAATCCTGTATAAACCATACAAGAAAACAAATAAAGAAAATTAAGCTTTAAAGAGAAATGAACCCTAGCTTGAAATGCAATTTTTGAAAAAACAAAAAAAAACATAATAATAATATACAGAAGAACAGCCATAAAAGTTCCTTTAGTATATAATCACATGCGCTTTCTTTGCTGTGTTTGTACACTTTGGTCAACTAAAAAAAGTATGACGTTTCAAATTGCCAAACAAAGGCGAGAGAACATAATAAATGTCTGGTTCCATAAGATACAAAACTAGTAGTAGATGATCACTCAACCAAAGAAAGTTGTGCCATCTCTTTTGCAAAAGAAGCTACACATTTTGAAACTGGAAACTGAGCTAGAATTTCAACCATAGAAGCAATAAGCGAACCAGAATGACCAAAGCAAAGAAGAAAACATCACATGGGTCTGAAACTACAACTTCATCACAGTGTAGTCATTTCTAACCCCCAAACCAACCAAAAAAAAAAAAAATTAGCAAGAGTTTTTCTAAAATGAGATAAAGAAGCCCAATGAGAGTGGTTTTTCCACTTAAAATGTCTGGGTAAACAATGAAAAGACATGAATTGAATATCACAGAAAGAGGAAAGAGAAAGAAATAAAATGTTAGTCCCGTATTTCTTTTTCTCTGTAAGCAAAAATAAATAAAGGGTTTTGCTTGAATCTTCTGAGTAAGATGAAGGAGACGCACCCATTGCTTCATAATCGCTAATAACAAGAAAAACCCATAAAGCAGTCACTGATAAAGAATATTAAAAATAATGAAAAATTAGGGCATTGTATTTGTATACCTAGAGACTTCATCCCAAAGAGGACCCTTTTGATTAGCCTCCTTGAACTTGGAATCAAGACGAGATCTGATCTCAAGAAGAGTTAAAGTCTCTTGTCTCGGCCATCTTCCAGTCCCTCCATCTCCTCCAAAAGAACCACCTGCTTCACCTTCAAACCCACTAAAACTTGGAGTAGAAACAGCCGCACTACTAGTTGTATTATTAGTCTTATTATTATTAGTATTACTAGTAATACTAGTAGTAAAATCTTGAAGCCCACGAGGCATCAAGTCGCTCACTTGACGACCCACCATCAACATCTCATAGTGGTGGCCTTGTGGCGTGGGTGTGAGACTCCGATGACCCGGAAACAACTCCGCCGCTTGTGGGATTACAGGAAAATGAGCAGCTCTACCGTTCATGAGCTGCCGTAGATCCGCCATACCACCATAGTCATGGCGATTGTGATGATGATTGTGATTATGATGATCCTCCATTTCCATATGAAGAAGTAGTAATACTACTGGAGACACAACAACCACCTTTTAAATTTTATTTTCAAACCAAAGATTAAAAAGAAAATGAGATATTGCAGCTAGCTAAAAGCTTAAAGAAAGTGAGAGACAAGTAAAGCTTTTATGAGAGAAAGAGAGACGAGAGCGGCAGTCTCGGATCGTGTCGTCCACGAAAAAGCTCCAATTTAAGCACAGAATAAATGGTCCCATCTCAGTTTCAATGGTATGTATGTATAATTTTCATGTACGTATATAGATTAGTATGAGTGTTCATCTCTCTTTGTACAGGGAATCGAAGTGTTGAGTGTTTGAACAAGGAAGTGGAGAGCAAAAACAAGAGATAAATTTACCCCCCCGGGGGTTTAGGTGTAATATAGCCAGATCCTACAGTGTAAATTACCAGAATAGACCCCCTGATTCTAATAGATATTAACCTATATAAAGGTAAAACGGGTAATTTACTCATATATTTATATATATATATATAGGGCAGAATAGATAATTCACTCTTAATTCATCAATTTCAGCATGAAAAAAGGTTGTTTCAAAGGAGGTATTTCTTAGTATTTAAAGGGCCAAGACCTTAAATTAGTCGACCAAAAGGTGAGGGTTGATTAAGTTATTCTCTCAACAAAAACATCACACAACATAATAGAGCAATAGTAGAAGTGAAGAGTGTGGACAAATTAGTGGTTGACACGTGGTTAGTTCAAACAAGACGAATTGTTTTACAGGGGAGTGGGCTCTTGCTGACGCCTCTACAGTGCCTAGGATCCTCTCTTTTTGACTCCCTTCTTTACTTTCTCTCTCTACCTACTACGATCTTTCTTTACTTCTTTCCATCTTTTTCACAACGGCACCGTTTTAACCACTACTTCACCATTTTATGCAAAGTGCTATTATTGATTGCTCATCATCGAGCTATCACTTTACTAATAATACAGACCAAATAATATATGGCACAAAATAATTAATTTTTTGTTTATGAAAAATAATGTCTTGTGTACTAGATTTGACTATCTTGTATTAAATACTTGCACCCTGTTTCTAATAATTTTGATGATAAGTGACACCAGATTGATTAGTATAGTTTGCTTAATTAATTGCTTTACATAATATATCATGACATCTTCGGTGCAATTATTCATGTTTTCTTCATATAAAACGTGCACTAATTTTTATTTTTATTTTTAGGCTTTTTATATCAAATAAATTTAATCATATGATATTGGATTATAATTGTAGATATTTATCAAGCGAGGAGACATATCACTTGTTTATTTCATTTCTCTTCACTGTGGATCTTGTATTGTATTTGAAAAAAAGAAACAAAAACATAGAACACAGAATTAGTAATAGAAATACATTTTAATGCGTGATTGGATATATGCATCCTTAATGTGACTTTCATACTTATTATTTTATAATTGCAACTACTATTAAATTTATAAACTCTGACAATTTATTTTTTGATAATTTCATTAAATAATCTATAAAAAAAAAAAAAAATTAGGGTTACGTTACTATTTCTAAAACATGGGAGTGTTCATTACTAATCGATAATTAGCCCTTTTTAAGAAAGTTTTTTGTTGCATTTAATGTTTTTTATTAAAGAGATTTTTCTTTTTTCTTCTAAATATTGCACAGATCTTTTTAACCTTTTCATTACAATATAAATACATCCATATCATTTTGATATACCGAGGCAATTTTATAATTATTGGATAATTGTATATCATAAAACATTTCTGATAAATTGTTCACGAAAGAGACTATGGTGCCACGATTACATCACATTGACAGTTTTATAAACCAATAGATGATACATGAGACATAAATATTCAATTTAACAATTACCAGTCATATTAACGATAAAAACACATGAGAGATAAAAAAATTCCTACATAAGATATATGATAAATGCATTGATTTGTGGTGTTTTTTTAAATACTAATATATACAATTTCTAGATTTTTGTTACCCTAACAAAAATATTAATGGACAAAAATATTAATATGTAATTAGTTTTTATTTTGACCCATCTAACAGAAATTTCTGGATCCGCTAAAAATGGTAGCTGATAATTTGACTGATTTTTATTTATTTTCATTGATGGAATCAATATCCTCCTATGATTCATAAGTTCTTCACGATTCTTATAATTCTTCTTATGATAGATTTCTATAACACTAGCTAGCTAACAATTTCTATCTTAATTTCAATTTGAAATTGTTTCTTTTTCTTCACCATTCTTTTAAGGGCTAATGAACTTACACCCTTGAAATTTAATTTCAAAATTAAAATGTCTTAATTTTTTATCATTCTCTGCACACATGCAACCACCAAAATATTCAAAAACCACAAGATTATTTTTCGTCACTTTTGGCAGTTAACTTTAACGTCAGTAAGGTTAATTTAGACTTTCAAATATGTGATCTATGAAATGAAAGATTTTTACACCTTTTGGCCAACTAGAATCTTGACATGTAGTTTGCGACCTTCATCAAAGATCCCAGTTGCATCTTAATAAATCACTTTTGAGTGCGATATATTATAGCTATGATTTGACATTTTTTTTTTTGAATTTATTAAAAAATTGGGGTTTATACTTAAAAAAAAAAAAAATTCTTTTTTACAAGCTATTAAAATTTAAAGAAATTTAAAATTATATATATTTTTGAAGAAATTATGAGCATAGGGGTTAATACCAATTTCACCCCCTGAAACTCAAGAAATTCATTGGCCCCAAATTGTCCAGAAACTACCATTCAGATCTCCTGCTGTTAACTTGAATGTTGACTGCTTTTGACTTATGAAATGTCTGATTTGCCCCTTAAGGTTTTTATTTAAATTTAGTTTAAACTCTAAAATCAAAATATCTATAAAAAATAATTAACTACAAAATAATATAAAAAATTCTTATCCAAACTCTAAAAAAACTCTATACGATACCAAAATTATGAAAAAAAAAAAAAAAAAAAAAAAAAAAAATTGAAATACCTTTTTAAATTTTTTATTTTTACATAAATTTAATTTAAAAAAATAAGAAAAAGAAACATTAAAATATTGAAAATAAATCCAGAAAACTAAAAAATAAGTTTAAAATACAGTATAAAGAACTTAAAAGTTTTGATAAACTTAAGAACAAATAATTTGAAAATTTTAATAAGAAACCTTAAAAGATTAATACTATTGAAAATCAAGATTAATAAAAAAAATTAACAAACAGTGTTTATATGATCAATTTATCACAAAATAATAAAAATCTTCAATTCAATTCCCCAATAACTATCCAATATAATACCCAATACACAAAATTTGGCAACAGCTTTACAATTCCATACACTATACTCAAATCCAATTCGACGCCTTATACACAAAGAAGCTAGGTGGGGAGTGGAGTTCACGGTAGCTGTGAGGATGGAGATGCGGTTTGGGAGTTGGGCTTGCTGTGGTAGAGGGTTGTGGCTATGAAGCAGCTGCCACAAGTTGCAATCTGGCCAAGCCAGACATCGTCGACACATGTTGAAATTTGGCTTGTCATGACATCGCCACTACAGTCAATTATCTGGCCTGGCCAGATGCCGAGCCGTGTTTGCTACTAGCAATGGCTTTTTTTATTTTTCTCAAACATATATTTTCGTCAATATTTTGGTTGAAAATGTGTTAGGCTTTGTAGGTAAAGAAGCTTTTATCTAATGATATGTAAAATTCCAGATCCAGATTGTGACTAGATCGGATGGCTCTGATCTGTTTAATTTTTTTTAAATTGTCTAGTTTCTGTTTTAAGGTTTAGATTTTCATTAAAAAAAATTGAATTTTCTTTTATTTTTACATAAATATAAAAAACTTAGCTTTTTAAATTTAGGTTTTTTCTTTTTTTTTCTTTTTTTTAACTTGCATTCTTTTTCCATCCAAAAATATCTTTTTTGGCCCTATTTCCGTCAAATTTATCTGAGAAAACTAACAGAGGGGGTTTCTTTGGTAGTTTATGGAGTTTTTGGGTCCATGTTTAGCCCTAAGCATAAAATGGTCAAGCTTGAAATAAACTATGGATAAATTTTTGTTCTTCTGGTTTCTTTCTCTTTATTGACGCTTCTCTATTTTATCAAGTGGTGGATCCTGAAATTTTTTTTAGGATAGGCCAAAATAAAAACTAATTACATATTAATATTTTTGTTAGAGTAGGCCAAAATCCAAAAATTTTATATATTAATATTTTAAAAAAAAATTGAGAGTGGGCCAAAAGTGGGCTGGATCCGCCCCTGATTTTATCTGTCTTATTTTTTCTCTGGCTATCTAATTTTTTTTCTTAGCCATCTTATTTTTCTCTATTTATTTGATATTCTATCTAAATTCTCTTTGTTCTTGACTATCTTGATTAATCTATCTTCTTAATCTTTCTCCTCTACATAAATTTAAGGTTAGAGCATTTTTTGGTTCACTCTTTCTTATTTTTTTTCCTTAAACTTAACCAGGCGATTCAAACCTCTTTAGCCAATATCAAAAACCGCTTCATTATCTTGAAAGAAAACATGAACACGTTGAGCAATCAACTAGGATTCTTAAGTATATTATTCAAAAGGTCTTGAATTTGATCTACCTCAGCTCCTAATAGAGATAACCATTGGAAGCTTATCTAGTTGTTAACTTCAGGGTCTCAAAGGATTAGTTGAGGTGTACACAAACTAATTTGGACACCGCCACTCATAAAAAAAAAATGAACACTTAATTTGCAAACATCAATGACCACCTAGAAAAATTATTCTAAATAACACTACACGAGAAAAATGGGATAAAACTTGAAATAAGTAATACTATTTATATTGTAATGTTTATTTATTGATAATTGTAATACAAAAATAGTGCACATTAGTATTAGTATTAAGTTCTCTAACAAACCTTTGTGTCTTAATTTAAAGATTGAGAAGTAACTCTTATAGTAGTAATGAATTAGGGGAAAAAAAATCTTCCTTTATTTTCACTTTCAATTGAATAATTTTTGTTAGTTTAATTTATTCAATTGAATTTTGTGGTGTACTTATTAATAATGTTTTTGCAAAGCTAAATAACCCAAATTTTAAACCTTTCAATTTTTGTTATTTAAAAGGATATTATATGTGTTTCA